TCACAGCTTACACATTCAATTTTTAAATAAATTTAAAAATAAACATAATCGAATTTAATTTTAATTTAAAGGCCACGACCAGCTGCACCTAAACCACAAGAAGAGTCATTCGATCGTCGTCCTAGTGTGGGTATTGTCTTGGATTTTCCGGCTCTAATACAGGCTCGCAAAGCTGAACTGGAGCTGAAGCAGCAGCAGCAGCGCGAGAATAAAACTACTTCATCAATGGATTCAGAGAGTGGACAGCAATATATGTTCCCACTCACGGAGAATACAGCCAAACAAATGGCCGATGACAGTTTCGATGCTCTCGAGCGCATGTGCGATAAGACTGCCTCCGACCCAGACAGCACACTCTTCCAATATTTGAACAGCGATGATAAGGAACAGGTATTGGCTACAGCCAAGAGGCAATGCTCGCGTTCAAACATATGTAAGTCTATTTAAAGTATATGTTTATAAGCTCATCAGGGATCTAGTAAATGATCTGAATTGCAGATTTAATTCTATATTCTTTAGCTAAGACTAAAATCTCAATTTGCTTTGCAGCTGATGACTTAGAAACGGAGTCTTTGCGCCGTATGCTGGCGGATGTAGCTGATCAAGCTGACTTGTGCAACGAGAGTCCACTAAAGAGTGCAGAGTGCACACAGTTGGAGGATGTTGAGGCGCCATCACGTTTCTGGGATAACGATTCTATGCTCAATGCCACCGATTCACATTTTCCGCTAAAGACAGAGACATCGCCCGTCAAAATGGTCGGCCTGTTGCGCCCTTCAACCATACTGGAGGCCAATGAGGCCGATCTCACTGGCTTGCAATCAGATGAGTCCTGCTCTCTCAACAGCAGCTTTCTGACAGCCAAGACGTTGAGAACGGAGCTAGGCTCTGCATCTGGCTCTAGTTGCTACGAAACGGCCGCTGATGATTCATTGGCGAACAGCTCGAAAGATGTTACAGAGGCAGCAGCGTTGAACGTTGATGACTTGTTTTATGCGGCCATAGCCAAGGCTAAGCCACATGGCATATCTAAGATCGAGCAGGAAGAGCTGCTGTCTGATATGCAGGAGACTTTAATGGATATGGCACTCAGTGATGCGGCAGATAACACTATCATTGAATTGTCATCGTCCAGCGAGAATGAAGAAGAGCAGGATGGAGAGCGCAACGAGGCGAGCAGGGAAAGCATTAAACAGGAGGAATGCTCTCTAATTGATTTAGATGATGAGGAAGATAAGGAAAACAAGTCAACACGTTTGAATGGCACCATAGAGGAAATGGATTACATGTTGAAAAAAGCTCAAGAATACATGGAAACTAACAAAACCCCACAAGAATCATCAGAGCAGCAACCAGATTCAAACATAATTCATTTGCATCAGAAAACAAAGTCGCCGCATAAATTTATCAGGCCCCAAAATAAATGTGAGCCAATGTTACCCGAAAAGCCGCTGCCGGCCACTGGCAGATTGCGGCATAAAATCAATATGAATTATCTGCCAACCGAAAAGTTCTTCAACGAACCCATCTTGCGTCGCCTCGCAAAGAGTCAGACAGATAATTTTGCCCATATCGTCAGTCCCATACGTGCCTATACACAAAAATCCAGTAGTGCGCCCCTGATGAGCATATTCCGGGCAACATCAAATAATCTGAGCGACACGCAGCTGGAGGAGGAGAACTCACTGATATGTCAGCTGAAGAGGGGCCAGGCAGCCGCCCTAGCAGGCAAGGAAGCAAAAGTTAATCCAGAATACTTTAATCCAAGTGCTCCATTTCTGCCCAAGAAGGCATACATATGTTCTAATTTGCAGCAGGTGAGTCGAATAGGGATGAGTTGCATAGATATATATATATGTATGTATTATTATAGTTGAACATTTGGTTGAGGAGGGAGTAGGTTAATAGGACTATTCAAATTTATGGGCCTTGAATTTTGATATGAATTATTGTTTCTTAATATTAATATACATATTTATCGCGCATCCCCAATCCTCTAAAAAATCATTTTCCATACCCTCCCCAGGTCGTTGATGAACGTACTCCCTTGGCGATGCCGAGTGTGTCGCAAATCCAAAACTATTTGGATTCAGCCTCCGACCCAACAGTGGTGCGTCACGATGGCAAGATAAAGACGCCTGGCAAGAGCTGTGCCACCAACCAAAATAAATCGTATATACCTCGCCGTGTTAATCAAAGTTTGGCAGATTTGTCGCTGGCCTCCGGCGACGTCTCCTTGCACACTATAAAGGATGCTAAGAAATTTTAATTATTTTTGTTGAAAACATGTTAAGAAGAGGAGGCGTTTCTATATGGAATTCATAACAAATGCATAAAGCGAATCGCAATTAGTTTTTTAATTTAACAAATAAAGATTACGACTTAAAACACACCTAGTAACAATTAGTAACTAGTAAATGCCATCGATTGCTGTGTGGGTATGTAAGAAGTTTATAACTTTTTACCCTGGGGCCCTTTCCAGGCACGATTCACCTTGGATTCAGTTGGTCTGCCCAATTCCGTGCATATGTAGCGGCCCACTTTAATGAGTTTATCCAGATTGACACCCGTATTCATACCCATTCCGTGCAGCATATAGACGACATCCTCAGTAGCTGCATTGCCGGATGCGCCGCGTGCATAGGGACAGCCGCCCAGGCCAGAGACAGAGGCATCCACAACTCTTATACCGTACTCCAAGGAAGTCAGAATGTTCGATAGCGCCTGGCCGTACGTATCATGGCAGTGCACGGCCAGTTGCTGTGCAGGTACGGCGCGTGTCACCTCATCCAGCATCTTGCGCATGCTACCTGGAGTTCCCACGCCAATAGTGTCGCCCAGCGAGATTTCATAGCAGCCCATTTCATGCAGCGCAGTTACCACCTTGACCACAGCCTGGGGTGGCACAGCTCCCTCGTAGGGGCAGCCTACCTAAAAGAGAATTTAATACTTGGAACACTATTTTAGAATGTTTCAACCGATTTTACTCACCACAGTGGAAACGTAGCCTCGCACGCGAACTCCATTTTTCTTAGCAGCTTCGAGGACGGGCTTGAAGCGCTCGATTGCCTCTGCCGCTGTACAGTTGACATTTTTAAGCGAAAATGCATCCGAAGCGGCGCCAAATACAGCTACTTCCTCGGCGCCCGCCTCTAAAGCACTCTCAAATCCTTTCAGATTTGGCGTCAGCACAGGATAACTAATGCCTGGTGCACGGCGTATGCCACGCAAGACCTGCGAATTGTCGCCCATTTGAGGCACCCATTTAGCACTCACAAAACTGGTGGCCTCAATTGTTTGTAAGCCCGTTTTCGACAACTGATTTATAAGCTCAATTTTTATAGCAGCCGGCAGCAATTTGGGCTCGTTTTGAAGACCATCGCGTGGTCCCACCTCCACAATGCGCACGTTATCCTGCGACAGCTGGGACATAAATCGTGAAGATCTGCCCTAAAATTTGTTTGTTTTAATACTAATTGTATCCATGGATCATGAGGACTTACAAGGAAAGACCATTGGAATAGAGGACGCGCCAAATATCGTGGTATTATCATTATGGATAAACAACTTGTTACGTGCAGTGCCTCTTTAACACAGCGAACAGCTGTTGCTTATCAGAATGATCTGCACAAACCGATAACATGTTCTAATTTATGCTGAGAGTTGATAAGATAATTATAAATATATTGTGTACCAAAAACTTATTCGTCTATTAAAGAAATCTGTTATTAAGCTGCATTATAATAAAGTTTATGATAAATGTAATAAAATGTATATTTGAAATCAACGTGAATTGGCGCTTGTCGGAAAGTATCGATAATGTTACGAATATCAGCTGATTGCATTTACTTTAATCTTTGCTCATCTCTAGTGCCCTTGAATTTAACGCGCTTACAATGAAAACAGAAAAAAATCAACAAAATGAAAGCAATGAAAACAACATAAAAGATGAGAATGATGATAGTGATAGCGACGACGATGACAACGGCGACAGCGAGGATGTGTTCCACTTTGAAACAGAGCACCTGGCGTTGCGTGGCAATCAATGCTACAGCAATCTTTTGCGCACCATAGCCACGCTACAGGCGCAACGGATCCGCGTCCACCAGCAAATTGAGGAACTGGAGAAGGCGCGCGATAACTACCTGGAGAATCCGCAACTTCTGCTGGACAGGTTGCGCAACAACGAGCCTTTGATATCGCCCCATTATTTAACTACGCTTCGTCTACCTGAGTTGCCCACATTAATGGTAAATTCAGATGTTAAAATCGAGGCGCCTGCGGTCAGCTCTCAACCGACTGAGGAGGACAAGAATAGTAAAAATGGCCATAAGAATCAGACTCGATTGTGGACAAATGAGGAGCAGCGCCGCCTGGAGCAGCTTCTCATTGAATATCCGCCCGAAGAGGTGGAAATGCGGCGATTCAGTAAGATCGCCAAAGCTCTGGTAAATCGCACGCCTCAGCAGGTGTTCAGCCGGGTGCAAAAGTACTTTCAGAAACTTCATGATGCCGGCATGCCAGTGCCTGGCCGTTTACCCAAGTATCGTCGCTCGGGCGGCCCACCACGTCCGAAGTTCAGCGTGCGCCGCTCAACATTTTTCCCGGCACAGAATATAGAGATACAAATGCCCGAAGACGAGTACACTTTGGATGATCTTGTGCCTGTCGCGCCATCACCACCGCCACCATCACAAATAAAAGTTGAACCAAAGCAGGAACCCGATACACTTGAAACGGAGACGCGTCGTCAAAAGTTGCTGCAGCTAAAAATACTAACAGCCATACGAGACGAAAAGCTGCAAACAGAGGATGGCTACAGTCCAGATCCATTGGCACCCAAGTGCGCCGAATGCGAGGAGTCAGCCGTGACGCGTAAGCGTTGGCATTGCAACAGTTGCTATTGTTATCTCAATTTATGCGGCGACTGTCTGGCCCATCAATTGGTCACCGAACAGTTTGAGCACATGAGCCATGATGTGGTCGAGGAGCCTGAGATATAATGTCAATCACCATACTCTATTTATAGATCAAGTTTGTAAATATGGGTTTATGCAGTTGCTTAGATAAGTATTAATAATGTTAAGGATGTAGTTGATAATATAGAAGTATAAATAATATGTGTACACTGAATATTGAAGTCCGGAATATAATCATATATACATATGTATATATATTTTAGCTAATCTACCATTGATTACCAAAATCAATAAATATTTTGTCAAATGCAACGACACAAAAAATTATTTATTTATTTATATATAATGCGTTTCCTCTAAACGCGGACATAAAATATTTACATTTTTTTTATATTTGTGTATTTTTTTGTATTTATTTATTAATTCAAATACGCACTCGCATTGCTTGAATATACACGAAACTTGAGAATACCAGCTCACCCATAAAATTGAAGAATTTATTGTAAATTGCAAATCGGATTGGAAATGCCGTTTATGTACGGTTCATACATAGATGTGGCTTGTACACAAACTGGAATTGTAAGGAGAAAAACCTACATTAAACTAAAGTCTTATCCGGTTACCCCCCAAAAACGAGCTAATTCTTTGGTTAAGCGCGTTTGCCCTGGCCCAGTTAGATCGTTCAACTCTTGACACGCGCCGCATTGCGTTTATCCTCGATCCATTGCTCAATCTCCTGCTTGAGCGCCACATTCGACTTGACCTTGTCCATGGTGAGGGGTTCGCGATTGAAGGGATCGGTCTGATCGCTCAGCAGATGGCGAGCAATTGTGGACCGATCAACGGTCACATTGGAACTGGGCAGCACCACCGGATCGGTCATGAGCGTCGATATAATTGGATCCAGATACTCTTCGGGAGCATCGGCCAGCAGTTCCTGCTCCTCCTTGTAATCGTTGCCCATTTTCTGCACCTTGGCCGCAAATTCGGCCATGTCCCCGATTAGCTGACCTCCGCCGATGCGTATTAAGATGTTTTCGGCATAGCCGAAGAGTTGATCGCTGTAGGAGCGGCCATCCTGCGAAACGGCCAGGCAGAAGCTGTTGTCAGTACTTAGGTTTATATAGATGTGTGCTATCTCCAGCACCATTTGTGCCGGATCGAACTCGAACTCCTTCTTGTCCTTAACCTTGAACCGCTCGCGCTGAGGCCCCACCAAATGCAATAGAAAATAGTTCAGCATGGCCGCAATGCGATCCACCATGCTGTTGTGGCAGAATATGCTTTTGATCTCGCTGGTCAGCAACTTCAGCAGATTGATGGTGTCACGGCCCAGAATGTTGTCGAAACGTGCCAGCATGCCCAGATGGTGCAAGTTGGTAGTCTGCTGCTGTCGCTCGTTGTGTGATAGATTGTTCCACTCGCCATTGTCCTGAGCCTGCTGCAGCTGCTTGATCTGCTCCAGATTGGAGAGCGACTCGTCCAGCAAGAATATAGCATCATTGATAAGCAGGTTGATGAAGCGCAAGAAGAGCGGCGGCTCAATGGCCTCCATGCTGCTCTCGGCGTCCCTGGCCAGTTGTCTGAAGCACTCGACGTGCTCCTCCTTGGTCCACAGGAACTCCATGATGGCGTACATTGGCCGACGATAGTTGAACTTCTGTTCGAACTGCACCGACTGTCCAGTCATTTCGATGCTGACGAACACATTGAGCAGACTGCGCACCACCTGCAGGCGATCCGGATGGCTATCGAAGACGTGCGTGTTGAACACCTTGCGATTGCTAGCCGACATCTGCGAGGGCAGGAGAAATTCCAAGGCATCTGCCAATTTAGCGCGCAAATGCGGATTCTTAACCAGCTCCGAGCTGCCCATAAACAGCAGAATCATCTTGAAGAAAGCATCGTGCGAACTGGTGTGCAGCTGTATGAACTGATCGCCGGGAAAGCTGCGACAGAAATTCAAATATGCTGCAATATTGTCAATGATATTCTCCGGCACTGACTTCATATACGGCGCCACAAACGGTGGCGTCTCCGATAACAGTTCCAGATTGCGCATCAATTGCGGTGCAAAATCCTTTTTGTCCAGCGCCGCCTCGAAGCATTCGCGAGGCAGCATTGCAATCTCAGTCAGCCAAATGGACGACGCCTCAAAGAACTTGAGTATCGCCGTGTCATTTTCCGGCTCGGCCAAGCCATTGCGAATGCAGAGCACCTGTTGCATCTGATCCTGCAGCATGCGAAACAGATTCTTAGTCAAATCATTGTTGGGATCACTGGCTGCCACATCCTGGTAAGCAGTTTGGGTGTTCTGCAGCTCGCGCATCATGCGAGTCAAGCGTTCAATGCACGCTCGATTACCCAACTCGAAAGCCTTGTGCGTCATATAGAAGATTTCGGTGATAAAATTATACTTTTCCGCTGTCAAACGTTTCTCGCCCTCTTCCATGGGCAGCAGGCAGGTTTCCTCATAGGCCTTCAGCATGTTGACGCCCTTAGTCAGGCGATCCATTATGTCCGAAACAGCACAATAAGTGGGATCTACCAAGAGCACCTGCAGAGGGATTTCATATATATCAAGGGACGCTAGAGGAGGTTATATACAAGTACCTTCAGGGCAGGCGAGCAGAGTGGCGCACACAGACGCATCAGCACGGCGCTAAGACTGGTCATAAATGCATCGCTGGCAGTGCTATGTACGGTCTGCTCCAGGTTCAAGTTTATGGTGCTCCAGAGATGGCCGCGTGCCACATTCGCATCCAGACAATTGGCAATCCATTGCAGTGTCTTCTTCTTGGTTGTGGATGATTGTACCAGCAGTTGTTTAATGAGCGTGAACATGGCCTGCTGATGATGTGCCAACAGCTGCCAGAGAGTGGGATCCGATTGCTGAGAGATCAATGATATATCGCGAAAGAATTCATAGGGCGCCGTTTGTGTCTTGGGCATAATTGATATGCACAGCAATTGGCCGAACAATGTATCCATATACTCGCCACCTAAATCGAATGAATATAAATATTTTGTGGATATATTGGAATCTCTGAAGATTTACCTTTAGCCTTTGGATTGGGTGTTGTGAAGTCAATGAGCAGTTCGCCGAGCACACTGGCGCGTTTCTCACGCACAAAGAAACCAAATATCCAGAATATATTCTTTCGTATTGTAATCAAATTGTCCTTGGCCAATTGTTTCTGCAGGTCACTCAGCATGGGATAGAATATGGCCTTGAGAGATCCCAGCGCTTCCAGAGGTTCAACTTCTTCTAGCACTTTACCCACAACACGTACCAGAAATTCCTGGGTACTAACATCATGCTCGTCCGCCTGCTCGAATAGCTCCAGCCACTGGCTGGAAAAGGATTGGGGGGCAAACAGATCTGGCTGACGCATGCAGGTGCTGGCATTGTTTAATATTAGGTCAAGTATTTGATTGCCATGCTTTTTGTCCTGTATACTGCAAGTGCGTTGTAGTTGCTCCCATCTGGCGAATGCACCGTGCAGATAGATCATAGCTCGTTTCTCCAGCGCTTGCTCCTGTTGGCTTTGATTTACCTGTTCAGCTGGTAGTAGATATTTCGTCGTGTCATCCAGCATTAAACGTTCGAATAGGGCGTGTGCAAGCAGATCAACGCAAAGCGTATCCTCACTGCTATTGTCTGCCACGACGACATCGGCCAGACAAAGGATCGTCTTATTTCGACTGGTGTCCACATCTTTGCTCAGTGTAAAGAGCAAAATTGATTCGATCAGCTGCTTGGAAACGCCATTGGCCTCGGTACCCTGCTGCAGCAGAGCTGCAAAGGGATTTTCGGTGTCTCCAACGTTGGACATTGTTGCGACCTGCATTGTGTTGAATGATTAAGTTTAACATTAGTATTTGTTTCTAGAATATTTACTATTAGAAATTTGTAAATTTTCTGCTACCTGTCACTGTGTCACTATGCCAATTAGCACAAAAATCGAGATATCGAATACAGTTATCGACATAGAAAATACTCTTAATACTAAAAAAACAGTATTTTTATATAAATTGGAGTATTTTTATAAGATTCTTTTGAAATGGTCGTTGTTTTTTATTTTTGGCGAAATTCCAATTAAAAATTCAAGGCAACAAAAGATTTTGAAACCAGTTTATTCAGTTAGTTGAAATGTTAATTTATGCAAACGGTTTGCTTTTGAAAATATAAATAAACAGATGAGTTTTCTCAATGAATGGCTTAAAAATTTTAAATTTAAAATATTTAATCGTAAGTTTTATATAACAAAACTCTTGTTGCTTTGCAGTAATACTTAAGTAAAATAAATAATTATAGAAAACTATGAAAGATTTTACATTAAATAAGGCTCAATCAAAAATATAATTTTTCATAATTAATTATGCATGTCATACATACCGTAAAATTTAAAAATAAATTATCAATAGCTGATTTCCTCAATTAAAAAAAATAAAATCAAAAACAAATACAACATAATACAGAAGATGCACTCGAGTAACCTCTATCTATTATCAGCATTCATTTAATTGTTAAGTCATAAAGAAACGAATTGAGTAAATTAGTCCGCCAGTAACATTTAAATAATTAAATATGACGTCGACTATTCAATAAAATTGGAACAAATAAAAGTCTAGCTAAAGGAAGGGCGCAGGTGCATGCACTTAAAAATGCAAGTGTGCATGTATATATATACATATATATGTGTATGGCTAAATCCAAAGCCAATTAAGACAATCAATTGTCGAAAAGCCACCCACTGCAAATTATATGTGACTAACGGCGCCTGGCACTCAACATTGCAAGTAAATCGTTGCTTCCTACCCCGTTGAGCGTTTGCCATTAATACAATGAAAACAACAATTGACTGACTAACAGCTACCCTAAGCCCCATGACGAGCGTTTTAAGTATCTGCGTGTTACATATGCACCCAAACATACTGAAATACGCACACACACACACACTTGTGGGGGGCCACGTATGCCTTTAGCTTTACTTGTTTGTTGCTGTGCTTCTTCTTCCCCAAAACTGAGGTAAAAATTGGGGTGCTTATTGATGGATCGATTCAACATTTAACGGGCCATTGCTATCGATAACTTGAAAAAAAAAACTTAATTGGATTAGCTTTATTTAATCTAATTGGATTAGATGTGATTAGACTAGCTTTAATATGAATGCTGAATTCGACGAGTTAATGTATATGAGTATACAGACGGATGAATGGATAAACAGAAGGACGACTAAGCATAGAGAGGACATAGAGAGACAAAAACACAAAACAGACAGCTCAATCAAATCTATGTAGATCAACTAGACTATTAATGCTGATTACCTCTTGGTGACTTGAGCGCAACCAATATACCCTCAAGACCCCACTTGCAATGGGAAACAACAAAAAGATTTCGTGTATCGTTAAATCGACTTCTGATCAACAAAAGTAAACATTTCGAAGTTCGTTGATTTGGTCGTTTGTTGTTTTTCCTTTTGTATCAGTCGGTGCTGCATTTCCAAACGGTAAACACGCGTGCTGCCGGCGAAAAATTTATATGAAAATCGCAACTGAAGCGTTTTGTGATAAAAAAAAAAAATCACCTGAGCCGAATTAAATCAAATCAAATCGCTGCACTATATTATATAAAAAAAAGAAGAATCGTTTGATAAAATTATAAAATATTTTTAATTTTCTCACTTTAAAAATTATTGTTAAAAATTTCGCTCAAGTATTAAATTAAGTGAATTAATTAAAAAGCTTTAAGTATTCCGTTATGATGTGTTAAATCAATAATAATATATATTATCTATAATAATTAAAAATTTTGTTGCACTTAGCGAAACAGTTTGAAATTTAAAAATCAAGTAGAATGATATATATACATATATATATTTTTTATTTTTATATTTTTAATGTATAATAAACTAAATGTAATATAATTTAAACAAGAATATCAGTATTCGTACCATTGTGTATATATTGACTTATTGGATTTTAAATATGGTGAAATGAAAAATAGGAAACGCAGGGCAATTTCAACAATTTGAATAAAAGTAGAAAATATTTATAAAATGTGTAAATGACCATATCAATTTTGTATAATATAAATCAATAAAATATGAATGCTTAAAAAATTAAAAAGAGAGTTGCTAAAATATGGCAAAAATAAAAAGCAATCAATTATAAATAGATATGTATTAAAATAAAAGTGTTGATAAAAATGTAGATTACAAAGTTATCAAATGAAGTGCATTTAATGTGCGGGCTGACCTGTCGTATGCGTGATAATGTTAAAAGCCACAACAAACAAACGCAATATGTATACAATGATTATTATTGCTATAATCGATTCTATAATCTCTGTATTTATCAGGCATATATATACTTAACAATAAAGTGTCATTACCGATTTCTTTGCTTCTATTGTTCCGCCAGCCATGAACACATTGCGTATACGCCCCTTGAAGCCGGCACTGCAAACGATTGCTGTGCAGGAGCTGAACGAGGTGCCGCAGCGTGTCATCGACGATGTGGAGACGCTGAGAGATTGGGTGCTGAAGCAGCCGCATTTACAAGGTTGCACCGAGCATCAGTTCCTGCTGGCCTTTTTGCGCGGCACCAAATTCAGCCTGGAGCGTGCCAAGCACAAATACGATCGCTTCTATACGCTACAGGCCTCCATACCGGAGGTGTTCAATGAGCGACGCTTGGCCACAGATCCATTGGCCTTGGACATTGTGCGCTCGGGGTGGGCAGACATCAATATCTATATCTATACATATATGTCTCTATCATCCTGATCCATAGCATCCTGCTGCGTGTACCACAGCATGAGGAGGACACGGGTCCTTGTGTGACCATCATACGCGCTGGAAGCTACGACACGAGCAAATACAAGTTCCAGGACATTATTCGCGTCGGCTCCATGTTCGGTGAGATTATGATGTTTGAGGATGAGAATGCCACGATTTCGGGCTATGTCGAAATCATGGACATGAAGGGTATCACGGGCACACATCTATTCGCCCTGCAGCCGGAGTTGCTGCGCAAGTTCTCGACCTATGCCGATGAGGCGATGCCCACACGGCAGAAGGCCATCCACTTCATCAATGTGCCGCCAGCGTTTGAGGCCGGCTTCAATACGCTCAAGTCGTTCTTTCCCGCCAAGATCAAGAGTCGAGTGAGTTGACCTATTGTATAGTATCTGTATATATCCAATCCATATATATTTATTTATTTGCTCAGATTTCCGTGAGTTCCCATCCGGATGCCATTTTCAACCTAGTTTCGCCTGATTATTTGCCCGCGGAATATGGTGGCACCCATGGCGTTATGGCGGACATCAGTCACGCCATGGAGTCAAAGCTCACCGCCTATGCACAATATTTTCTGGATTCCCAGCACTTTGGCTGCGATGAGAAGTTGCGCGATGTGGACAGCCGCCCACAGGACAAATGCTCCACGTTCGGTGCAGTCGGCTCATTTCGTAAGCTGGAAATCGATTAGATCTTGGCCAATCAGCAATATAAATAGACTAAATTAGTTTTACAACTGGGCTTTACAAGTTGAACTCTTTGATTCCGATATTTATGGGCAATGTTAATCTTATCGCATAATCATGTTATGAATAAATTGTCCGAATTTGGATTGATATTAAATTATGCTTTCATGCTGTATTGAAGGGGTCAACGTTTTTTTTTTTAAAGATAATTAGTTTTTAAACTACATTAATCACATTGATTTAAAGATTAAGCTGTACCCATTTCCCTAAGGCTATACAAAAGTTCCCAATATGCGTTTACTATGCGACTCTCATTAGCCTATGAAATTCTTGGTTCTTCTAAGAGCAGACTCTTTTGCTTCGTTTTTCCTAAAAATTACGAGTTTTGAGAAAAGTCTTGAACTTAATTGGCTGCTTAACAACCAATAGAAAACCTGACAATATACATTTATGGCATTAGCTGTGCCAGACCAAAAACACGAGTTTGTTATTGCAAATTTTGTAAAACTCATACATGGGCAATAAAATATTAACAATATTTTTAATAAGTTCTGGCTTAAGTAAATTTAGCAGAGATTTCAAATAGAAAAATTCTCAATTATTTTTTGGTGTTTTTAATGTTTGGTTTATTTTTTGTAGTTTTGCATTTGATATCATTTTTCTCATTGAGCCATTGATTTGATGTTTAATTTGAAAATGTCTCAGATTCGTAATGTGGGAATCGTGTGAGTGTGTGTGTGTGTTTTTGTGTATAAGTATGTGAGTCCCCCTAAATCGTAGTTAATCCGATGATCGATAATAAATATACATAGATTTGAACTAGTTTTGAGTTTCTGCAACTACTCGGTTAGGATACGTTTGTCCACTACTCGTGAAGTACACGGGGCCGCCTCAATGCTTCAAACTTCGCTGACGGTGCGTGAGCTGTTCTTGCGCGGGGGAGTCGGGCTGGGCGGCGGACTAAAGTCTGTTTCCGTCTCATTGTAATTGTAGCGACTGTCTGATGGCGACAGTGAGCGAAACGTGCGCGGCGAGTGCCTGTACGAGTCGCGGCGTGGGCGGCCCCAGCTGCCGCTGTGTCGCCTCTGGCGATCCGTGCCGTGCTCATCATCATCATCGTCGTAGTAGTCATCATCATCGCTGTAGTCGTCCCGGTCGTCGCGTTGCGGCGAATAGCGATCGCGCGACGATGAGGTCGGCGGCGGCGAGCGCATGCGGCCGAGCGGCGGTGGCCGTGCACCGCCAGCAACCACTGGTGGTGGCAAGAATGGCGGCAGCCCCATGAACGGCGAGAAGGGCGCCGGCAGGAATGGCAGTGGGTTGGGCATGTTGAGCAGCCCCGGCGAGCCCGGCAAGGGCAGCGGTAATGGCACTGGCGATGGAGCGTTTGCCTGCTCCGGCGCGCCCAGTCCGCCATTGGTGGCCAATACATCCGCCGACACATCGCCCACTCCGCTGGCCATGGCTGTCATCTGACGCCGATAGCCGGCGGCTTCAGCCTGCGCCTCCTCCCGTCGCCGATCGGCCTGACGCGCCGCCAGCCACGATTCGTGTGCACGATTCTCCAGCGTGCCCATCTGCGCCTTGTGGGAGGCAATCTGCGCCTCAATCTCGGCGCGCAGCTCATCGTTTTGAGATCTGTCAAATTGTTGTTCTTATAGATATGCATAAATGCTTATATATCAACTGACTTTCACTTACTTCAACAGCTGAATTTCGTTCTTCATCAGCGTTAGCGTCTCCACAGTGCTGGCATTTTCGCCCTGGTGCTGCAGCCACTTGGACTCCTGCAAGCTCAGCTCTCTGCAAAGGCAAAAGTGTAAAATTAGCAAATGTTGAGAAATAGCAAGCTAGACTGTTACGAGAATTTTGTAGTTAAATACAAAGATATAGATTAATGACTATCTCACAGACCTAAATTGGAAAGTTCTTGAAAAAGTTCTATGAAAGCATAGGCAAACATTTAAAGCCCTAGGATGGTGTGAATATTAGACCTCTAGTTGATCCACATGCCGTGGTCAGTTTTAAGAGTTCTAAGCACACAACCAAAACTAAACTTTTTCAAAGCAATAATTTTCCTAGCTTAAGCTCCACTAAGTGATCTTAAACGTCACCCACTTTTGCAGCTGTGTTTCCTTCTCACGGAAATAGCCGGAGAGCACTTCGAGGCGTGTTTGCGCCTCCAGCTTATCGCGTTCGGACTGATTGAAGTCCTGTTTGAGCTGCTCCACGTCTGCGCTGGATGCCTGCAGCTGGCTCTCGAGCCGCGCCTTGTTCTCCATCTCCTGCTCCAGTTTGGTTTGTAACGCTTTGAACTTTTGCTGCAACGCATTGAGTTCGCCACGCAATTTGGCCGTCGATATTAGTTCCTTGACATTGGCGTTGCCATCCTTCTTGATCGTCTTCAAGCACTCTTCCAGCGCCTCGATTTTGGCCAGGCTCGTCTGCAGTTCACTATGCTCCTTATCGTATTTGGCATTCAGTTCCATAATCTGTTTCTGCAGCCGTTGCATTTCAAAGTTACGCGCCTCCAAAGCCTTGGAGAGCTCCAGTTGGGATTCCACTTGGATTTCGTCAAGACGCGTCTGCAGCTTGGACTTCTCCATTTCCAGTTCGTAGTTATCCTGCTGCAGCGACTTCATTTCGCTGTTCAAGCGCGTCGTGGATTCCGTATACGAATATTGTAGTTCGCTATTCTCGCGACTCTTCTCCGCCAACCTGGCATTGATGTCAATGATGATCTCTGTGGGGAATAAATGTAGCAAATGGTTTAGTTTCATTTTATGTCAATTCGATTTTAAGTTAATGTTAAGCTACTCTTAACTTACTTTCTTGATCGTTAAGCTGTCGCTGCAGCTCGTCGACGGTGTTCATGAAAGCCTCGTCACCATTTTGGCTATTCAAAACTTCGGACAGCATTTTATTCAGCTCCAAGCCAGCTTCGGCTGCATTATCCAAATCCTGGTTAAGCATATTATATATTATTCATAGATATTTATATTTTGAGAAACTTACCTTCTCCAGGGAGCTAACCTGCTCCTGCAGCTGCGCCTTCTCATAGAGTTCCGCTTCGAGTTGTTTCTTCAAGGCGGCGACCATATCATTTGAGCCAAAGGAATTATCCTCAATGCTGGACAGTTTGGTGCGCGTTGTCATCAGATCGTGCTTTATGATGAGGTTCTCCTTGTGTGCCGCCAACAAACTGCGCTCCAGATGATTCAGCTTGGACAGCAGCGCACCCTCCTGGCTGCTGTTGCAGAAACAATAGTACGTGAACAGGAAGAACAGCGACGAGGCAGCCGCGATGACCACACAGAGCAGCAACAGGCTGTGGTCCAGCACTTTCGCGGCCAACACCTCCACAAAGTTGTCCAGGGTAATGGAGGCATGACAGTTGGAATCCGAGGGACGCGTGCAGTAGCCCTCAGAGAAGGAATCTTCTATAGGAATATATATAATATAGATATAATTACAATTAAATTATAAATTAATAGTAAATTTTAAAAAATATTTTCTGAAAGATTATGGATATATGCAAATGTAGAAACTTTATATAATTTAGGCTTTTTAATCTTGACTTTGGTACGAACCTTGGGTTATATTCAAATCTTGCATAGACAAGAACATGGTTAAACTGTATTTATTCTATCTATATTTATATTGAGCCAAAAATATGATATTTGAAATATTGAATAAAATTAATGCAAATTTTCTAGTTTCTTTAATTGTTGAGTTGATAACTGTTTTAAATGTCAATCCCGGAATGGTTCAGTGAAACTTGTAAAAAAAAAGCCTAAAATGTTATGACTTTTCCTTCAAAATTTTGTTATATTATATGTTATCTAAAATACTTATCAAATACATATGTTTAAAAATGTTATATGTATCGTTTAGTCTCCTCGCACTTACCCTTTGAATTTGGCGCATCTGGATAAAGCAAGCGATGCAGTTCATCGCTGCCCGTTAGCGGCTCTGTCTTGGGTTCCTTGTGATGTTCGTTGGATATAAATGAGTTGACAGTGTTCATAATGGTGCCAAATAATCCCAGGCCGGATGCAGCCTCTTCTTTGGGGGTCTCGGCGGGCACTGCCGGCAGGCCAATTGGCTCCACCGAACCAGTTGCAGCTGCCGGCGCTGCAGTTGGCTCCGCCTGGTACACTGCATCATAGGGATTATCGAATGCGCTTGCAGACGGCGTGGTGTGCTGTACGTGCTCCTCTTGCTGTTGCTTTTGCTTCTCGCGCTGACGTTTCAGCTCCTCCTGCAGTTCTCGCTGTTGCTGTTCTCGCTCCTGCTGCAACTGTTGTCGCCTTTGCTCTTGCTCTCGCAACTGTTCTTTTCGCTGTTCCTCTACCTGCAGTCGCAGCTTCTCTTCCTCCTCCTGCTGCTCTTTTAACTTCTGTTGGCGCTGTGCTTCCTCCCTTTGTCGTTCTTCTTCCTCCTTTTGTTTCAATTTCTCATACTCCTCTTCCTCCTGTTTCTGCTGCCGCAGTTGCTCTTCGTTCTGCAGTTGTTGCTGTAGCTTTTCCTGTTCCTTTTGTTTGTTGTCCTGCTGATCTTCTACCTCCTTCTGCTGTGGTTGTTGTTGTTGCTGTCCCTGTGGTTGCTGCTGTTGCTGCTGTTGCTGTTCCTGTGGTTGTTGCTGTTGCTGTCCCTGTGGTTGCAGCTGTTGCTGTTCCTGTGGTTGTTGCTGTTGCTGTCCCTGTGGTAGCTGCTGTTGCTGTTCCTGTGGCTGTTGCTTTTGCTGTTCTAGCAGCTGTTTGTAGTATTCGTTTGGGTTATTGAAATGCTGCTGGTTGAATAATGATGGCAAAATGGGCGCCACCGTTGGCTCCACAGTGGAGCCGGCCGTTGAGCTGCCCACCAATTCGGCTGCTTGTGGCACTGCAGGAGTCACAATCTCTTCTGTCTTTGGCTGTGCTGCTTCTGCATCGATTTTCCCTTGCTGCTGAGGTGCTTCATTGGGCGCAATGGCATCTTCAACTTTTGGTGCAGTGGCTACTTCGACATCCACCTTAACGTCTTCTTTCCCACTTGTTTGAGCTGGTTTGGCCTCTGGTTGTGGCTCTCGCAGCTGTTCCGCATTGATTTCTCCTTCCACCAATATGTTGCTGCTATTTACTTTTGCTGCATCTTCCAATTGCTCGGCTATTTCAATCTTCTGCTCAATTGTTGCTTCAGTTACAGGTTCTGTTTGGCTAGGTAAGGCAGCAGCGGCGACTTTTTCCTGAGTGTTTGGTTCAGTGATTTGCCGGGACATCGTCTGAAGTTTCGGCTCAATGTTAAATAAATTAATATTATTATCAATTTTATTGGCTTCTGATGCAGATTGTATTTCCATTATTTTTTCTTTCTGTCTCAACTCTTCGGCTGCTTTAGCTTGTGACTCTGTCTGCAGCGGCTCATCTTCGAGAACTGCGTTCACGTTGCGCGTTTCTACAAGCAACGGAGCGTCGATTGGCTTGGCAGATATTTCTGGCTGCGCTTGGTTACCTTGCGGCTGCGAATCAGCTTCATTTACTCCCTTTGGTAGGTCAGCTCTCGCTGTAATTGCAGCTGGAGTTGTTGCCGTTGCAGTTGCCTCATCAGTTGCTTTGCTCTGTGCATTCGAGTCGTATTGCTTGTCGTTGAATTTGCTGTCCAGCGTCGCCTCGTTGTCGTTGTCTTCGTCGTCGTTCAAACTCTCTTCGTCGTCCTCGTAATCGAATTCGTCGTCGCTTGTCGTGAGGTCCTCTGCCAACTCAGCATTGTTGCTCTTGGTTGCCGTTTTGATTTCGTCCGCATGCGAAGCATTCTGACTTCGTTCCGTTAGAGCGGGCACAGCCTCCAGCGGTAGTTCCGTGCCATCAACCAGTAGTAAGTTGGGCTGCACAGGGGTTATGGGTGAAGGCACTTCATTGCTGCCGCTGGTGCTCTGCTCCTGCTCCGTCAGAATGGCCAGCTTAAGCGTGTCCAGCGGTGAAGTGGTTGTTGTTGCTATATCTTCACTTGTTTCGGAAGCATTGAGCACTGGCTGCACCGGATGCACTTGTTCCAACGACTGCTGTGGCTTCTGTTCTGCCTGTGCCTTACTGGCAATGGGAACTGCTTCTGGAGCGACGGCTGCTGCTGCTGGAGCGGCGGGTGTATCTGCTGGAGCGACGGACGTTGCTGCTGCTGCTGGTGGTTTGGGTGGCCAAACCACAGGCACTTCATATTTAAGGTCGCCATCTTTAATCAGAATTTTCTTCTCCATGATGTAGTCCTTGTTGGCATAACCGCGACGTCCATTAATCTCGACGCCCCACAGCTTGGGCTCGCTGCCGGCGCTTTTGGACATGATGCGAACCGGCGCATGTGTCTTGAACGACAGCATTCCATTCTCACCAGATGCATAATTGATCTTAGCACTACCTAATGAGATGATCTCTATTCGCGTTCGAAGAATATAAAAATACAATAATTGATGAGATATGAGATAGAAATTGGGTCAGGGTTCATTTAGTTACACTGCATTTAGCATTTATCAATTTTAGATAACGTTTTTCTCCCTGCGCATATCGCGCATTACTTACGTTCACATTTTTCGTCAGCGCACAGTCTTTTGTCGGACAAAGCCCACGTCGTTGGAAGACTTGAAAGGGAAAGTGTTAAGGCGATGGCCAAGTAGACGGGCAAGTCACTCCACAGCGTCTTGGTTGGGGCATTTGCGTTTGTTGGCCGCATTTTGCATTGTTTTTTATTTCTGCACTGCTTACAATTTAATTAGACTAATCCGCGGCCCTAATTGTAGTTTGGTTTGTGTGCAAAACTTTTTTGTGTATAAAAAATTTCTTCACATTAGCTGAGTTGGCTTTTCGTCATAACAGCTGCTTTTCGGTGCTGCCATATTGTTATAAATAAATCGATATCTCAATATAAATACTAAAGTGTTCTAGAATCGCTTCATTGTCAATTCACCTTACTACTTTTGGTATTTTGAAATAAAAAAATACACTGTGTGTATTTTGTCATATACCGACAGTGACCACACTGCATAGTCTCTGGCATAGCTACATTTTAAACGCTTTAGTCTACTTTTTGTAAACCGAATGTGCAAAAATGGAACGCGCTTAAATGCATACGCGACAGTTAAGCAAACAATAAAGGACATTTCCAAACAAAAAGGTTTTTTTTCGTCACTAATGCTTTTATTTTGTGTTGTGGTTCTAAAAACAAGAGATATGCCGCGTGCCGTGTCCTGGTCTTAAAAATGCAATTTCATTACTTTAAAGTTGTCGCACTAGTTTATTTATTTTGCGCAAATATCAATAGAGTTTAATTTAGTTTTTATGTGCGTAAAATCAGAATGTTGGGAGGGGAGAGCTACGTAAAAAGAGCGCGACATTAAGTGTGCTGCCAGATGTGCTGTTTCAAAATTATGGCTTCGTCCTTTGAACAAGGGCTTACTGAATATCCTATTCATAAACTATTGACAAATGCAAAAGAATTGCATATATAAGAAACATAATTTCGTGTAAAATTAGCTGTGATAAGAGAAAAAACTGCGCTTTTGTCGCTCTGGCAACGCCGTGCGCGCTGTCAAAATTAGATCTGTGCGCGTGCCGTGCTTGCTGCGTTAAGTGTAGATGCGCGAGAAAATATAACCGAATTATATCTATATAATTTGAAGAAATGCATAACATACAAATCAATGTAGATCGTGCATAGATTTTGATGTTTTATAACTTATCTCAATGTGAATATATAAGATTGTAAATGAAATTAATATTTTGTCGTGATTTGCAATGCGCATCACTGTTAGCAAGGGAGCCTCCGATGCGAGAGCGGGAGCGAGAGCGAGAGAGGAGAGCAGTGTCAGTGCGTGTTCCTGCTGCTACTCATATTTTCGATTTCTACCTTTTGCATTTTAAACGTCTTTGTGATCGGTTGTTGTTGGTTGTTGTTCGGATGCGATTTAGTTACTTTGTATGTTTTATTTTCTCGTCAATTTAATGGCACGCCTCGAGTGAAATGTATATTGTGTAACAAAATCAAAATATTTCTGCACAAGAATGTGCCAATAAAAATATATGTATATTTATAAATCAGCTATGGTTAAAAAATGTGCAAAGTAAAAGCAACTAAATGTCAAAGTGTAACAAAAAACAATAAAATGTGAAATGATAAAGGGAAATGCATAGCGCCTAAAGCAAAGAAAAAGTTAGCACCCATTGAAAGCAAAAATAAAAATATACCATTGCGTCCAAAATTCTATGCACTAAAGTTAAATGTAATAAAATCCTTTGTTCATATACATTGCCAGCAACAATGCAGTGTTTTTTTTTTATAAAGTTCACTCTCCAGCGGGAGAGTGTAAGAGAGAGAAAGAGAGAGCGAAGGAAGGAGTGAGTGAGGGAGAGATATAGAATGTGACGTAATTTATATTTATTCTAAACAAATACTCAACTCATATTGCCAAAAAAGAAAACAAAAAATAGAAATAACATCAAGAGCGTGCGCGATTGTCCGTCCCTCTTGACAGTTTGTAATTACCAATTGCAATTGGCTTTTAATTTGAATTTTGCATGCAACAGGGCGCGTGTTACTCGCACGCACACACAAACACATACACATACACGACCAAACGTCTCATGAGAGAAAGGCAGGCCGAGTGGTAAACAAAAATACAAAATGTGCATGGGGAAAACGGATAACAACAATAACAACGGCAATGGCATGGAATTAATGTAGAAAAAAATGAAAACAACCAAATAGCGGCAGAGCTGTCGAACCTACCAACACAGTCGCCCTACGGCGCCTTCCTCCACCCAATGTTTTTGCTCGCAAATGTGAAACAAAAGCAACAAAACAAAAACAATAACAACAATTAGGTAATGTTTTTACGGCATTCTCTTTTGCGTCGTCGTTTCGTTGTTTGACAGAGAGCATGAGCGAGAGAGATAACGAAAGAGAACGGAACAGCAAGAGAGCAACGGGCGCTCATTTCAATGCCGATGTTTTTTTTTTTTGTCGTTTTCGTTTGACTTTTGTTTTGAAAGCATTTTTACATGGAAAATTTTGTGTGCGTTTTTTAGAGAGGAAAATTTTGTGTTTGTAAATGTTCTGATTAGAATGAAATGTGCTGGTGATATGTGAATTGTAATGTATGTATGTATGTATATAAAAAGTTTATTGTTTCACGAATTTTATTTGCAGTGGTGACCAAGTATATACGTACATACACACACATTTATATTCTAAATTTGATTTTGTTGACCAATTGCATTTGAAATTTCCGTAAAAATGTAAATGTTACAACCAAAGAGACCCAAGGAAATTGTTTGTAAAAATAACAAATAAACGGAGTTTATATAAATTTATGCACATGTAAAAAGAAAGAGTGAAAACTTCATTAACTAAAAAATCAACAAAAAAATAAACATTTAAATTGAAACAGAAAACTTAAAGAAAAGAAATTAGTCTAGTTATCATGTTGAATAAAATTGATGAAAATGTCGCGCCAAATGCAACATTAACATCAACGCCAACAACAGCTACAGAAACAATAACAACAACAGCAATGGCCCCGACAGAAACAACTGGCAATGGAACGGAGCCAACAATTTCAACGCACCTTGCAAACGCGACGGCAACAATAGAACCAACAACAGGAGCAGCATCAGCATCAGCTGCGGCAGCATCAGCATCGACAAGTGCAACGGAACAAGAAACAGTCGATGTTGTTGTTGATACCGCTGCTGCCGACGCCGWTGCCGTTGCCGTTGCAGCTGTTGAGGGTCAAGCAACAGCAACAGCAATAGCAACAATGACAGTGACAGCCAACAATACATCGACGCCATTGCCGCTGTCAGCTGCGACAGCGCACACCGAATTAGCAACAACAGCTGATGCCTCAGTCGCTGCCTCTGCCTCTGCCCCAAGCACTGCCAGCGCAGTTGGCGTTGCGAACGAATCGCAAACAGTGACAGAACCAGCATTCGATGTTCAGATGCGTACGCAGCAACAACAGAAAATAAGAATTTATCACGGCGCCAAACAGAGCGCCGTGTGGCGAACCGATTCGCTTGCATCCAATTCCAGCTCGAACAGAAGCGATGCCGGATCGATCGAGGCTATTGGCATAGGCGTGGCCATGGGCAGAAGCAGTTACAGCGGCACCGGCAGCGGCGGCTATGCCACAGCGCCCAGTCTGCTGCAGCGAAAATTTTCGGATAGCTCATTTAGTGCAACAGCGATGCCGCGTCGCGTTTCATTCCCGGAAAGCGATAAGGAGCTTGTTACTGGATATCTCGAGCCGGCCAATCCGTGGGAAAAAGGTAAGTCATATATGTATATTGCCATCAAATCTTAGTGAAAATTCTATTTAAACGATTTTATTTAAAATGGTTGGAAACGGGATAAATTGAGATGAGTCAAGGAATTTTCATTAAGCTTGGGGCACTTAGGGTTAATTTTTTTTAAACATACTAAGATTGTACTACTGCTTAAAATCTATTAACTGAAGTGCAGTGTTTTGATTTTTATGAGCAGAATTTCTTTGATCGTAAGAACTTTTATAAACTTTTTTCAAAGTATATTTTCTTTGAAAATATTTTCAAAACAATAATAATATAATATACTACGTAGCAAATATTTTAAAGCTTATTGATGAAATAATTAAAAAATTATATTAATAGTAGCCAATTAGAAATAACCTAAATCAAGAAATAATTGACTAAATCAATTAATAATTAACAAAAAAAAAAAAAAAAAAAAAAAAAAAAAAAAAAAAAAAAAAAAAAAAAAAAAAAAAAAAAAAAAAAAAATAAAAAATTCTTATAAAAATATATTAATAACAAATCTCAAAGGATATTTTTTGTTTTGTTTTAATTAGATGAACTATACAGCTTATAGGCTCAAGAAATACATGTATGTACATATACATATATGTATGTATTTAAAGTTTTTATAGTCTTGACATCAATTGTATTAAGTAATGTAATACACGATTTAATTCAAATGTACAAGAAATTCCCTATAATCAGTGCTTAATTCGATTGGCACTTGTATTAATTACTTTGCTTCCGATTTACATATATAGATAAAAGTAGTATAATACGTGATAGGATAGACAAGTTTGCTATGTCTTTATAGGCTATGCTCAGTTGGCGGATACTTCGACGTTACTTCACTTTACTTATTATGCGAGAACTTGTGCAAACACGGAAGTTAAACTTGAGACACATTTCGTAAATTACGCTTCCTGTGATTTAATTCAATTAAAGCGATTAATTTGCAAGTAGAAATGAATGAAATGCATTGAGAAACTAAAGCAAAGCAAGAGAACCATAACAAGAACATTAATAAGATGCAGGAAAGAGATAGCACGAGCAGTACGAGTGCGAAAAGGATTCGGTGAGGCATTCAAGCAAAGACTGCAATTGATCATGCAGCCGGTAAGTGCGCAAAGCACGAAACACAAATAAGAACTATATGACAGAGTGAGAGTAAGGGAGATAGAGGGATAGAGTGAAGTGGGGCTACGAAGAAACAGAACAGAAGAACGAACGATGTGTGGGTGGCTGGCAAACCCCACAAGAGAGGAGAGAGTGAGAAAAAGAAACGAAGCCAATTCAATGAAGTGCGCACAAATATTTATGCAGTTTGCTTTAAGTGAATGTCTGAATGGCGCTGCACTCGAAATAACGGAACGCAATAAATGGCGATGATGACGTTTGTTGCCAAGCGCATTTCATTTTGATGTTTCTTCTTGTGTTGCTCTCTCTTTCTTACACAGTCGCCCAGTGGCGAAGTGATGCGCACAATTCAATCATAGTGCGAGTTGTTGACAGTTGACACTTGCGTGCGTGCGGGTGGGCGGGCGTTTGTCGGCGACGACGTTGATGACGACGTTGCCACCGTTTTGTGCAGTCTTGCAATTTCATATTTGTGCACATGTGTGTGTGTGTGCGCGCGTGCATGTGTGTACAAACATTAAACAATGGTGTGAGTGCCAATGCATTAGAGTAGATTGATTTTTTTGTTCTACAGATATTAATATGTACATATGCATATGTGCATACATACATATGTATAACTTGGGGATTTCCAGGTTTTATAGAGCTTAGTTCAGGTAGTTGCTATTTGAAAAAGCTTTAATTTAAAAGCAGCTTGCTAAATATTACGTATACGCTTTAAAAATATCACGTATATCAAGAAATAAAAATAAAATATATAAAAATTAAATAA